ATAAAACAAGAGTGCTGCCACAGTTTTCTAACGACATAATCATGAATGACGCTAAAATCATCCAGGTACTTCTGATTGCAAAATAATAATCCTGTTAAAGAAATGCACAAACATAGTGTGATGAGTCAATCATCAAGCTGCTGAAACATACCTATGTATATGAAGATTAGGAGGTACGTGTGCTAAACATTCTAACAAAAATCTACAAATTACCAAATAATAATTAAAAACGGTTAGAAAATTCCAAAATCGATCATCAGTAAAAACAATGCATTCATTTCTAATATTCGTATTAGAGGGATGATCATACACTTTTTTTATCTTCCTTTTGACAATCTAAAAACTATTGTTTATGCACCACAAAAGCTAAAGCCGGTTACATTTGTTACATTACATCCGAGTTCCAACCACTGTCCCTCCCCCCCCCCCCCCCTCTTTCTCTCTGCTACTCTAAACAAAGAAAAAACCCACTGAGATAATTTTACAGGAGAAGGTATGTTTACATAAGAACAGTCTTAAAGCAATTCTGCCAACATTTGGCCAACTAAATTTGTTATATCAGTGCTGATTTTCAAAATTACAAGCATAGGTAAAAAGTAAAAATCACAAGTCAAATGTACTTCTTTTGCGTATTATACCCATAACATTTCTAAAATCCCTATCCACCGAGGCACCAATCGTGTCGAAAACATTGAAACGATATCTTAGGTAGAGCAGAACATTAACCCATATCAAAGCAAGAAATTTGGACTGTAAACAAATCAATCACAACTACAGTTGCCTAACATAAAGAAACAAGGGCAAACAAGCTAATACAGTTCAATTAATCAAATGAGCTTTATTAATAGATAAAAACACAAATGCAAGAAACCAAAAAAGAGAAATTCTTTCCCCCAAATAATTAGCTCAAATTATGAAAAAGATACCAGCTTTACTGCAGATAATGACATATATACTAATTCAAATTTCAGCAAAACTATGTAACAGATAATCCCATCTGCAGATCTTAATTACCCATCATTTATCCTAGAAACCAGAACCAAATTAATTGATAAAAAAAGCACAAATAATAGCGTAAAAAATGAACAACCCACAAAAAATGCCCTTCAAAAAAGAAGCAAATTCCAAAACTATATCACAACAACTATCAAATAAACAACCCCAATTACAAGAACATAAAAAACCCAACTAAAATTATTCTTAAAAAAATCAACATTATAAACCCACAAAAAAAAAATTTAAAAAAAATTATCTAAAATATGGGAAAAAGAAAAATCAAATTAACAGTACCTGAAAAAAAATCCCAGCTTGAGGGAAAATGGGTATTAATGATTAAAAACCCTAACTCAAAAAATAGAGCATTTTAAGAGAGAGAAAGAAGGGAAAATTAGAGGTTTTGTTTGGAGGTGAAGAAGAGAAATGGGGGTTTGCACTAAAAATGAAAATGAAATTGAGTGAGTTTTCTCTTTCCATACTGGCTCAGATTATTTTGTAGATCTGGGTCCCACACATAGTATGATGTTTGTGGGACTCACGTATAATATAAGATTGAAAAACAACAAAATTTAATTAAATCAGTTTTTTTCAAGTCATGTTACTGTAATACTGTGTTAGTGTGTGACTACTACTTTTTTGCTTTCAAAATGTCATTTTTTTTGGGTGTCTATTTTATGAAAGTAAGCTTACTCTTGTTATATTTCATTTTCTTCTCTACCAAATTTAATGCCCAAATTTTTTTTGTTGAAAATGACATGATGTAATATAATATCAATAAACATATTCATGGCTCCTTTTTGGTGGTAAAACAAAAGAGTTGCATGAACACAAAGTTTGGAGTTTTAGTATTTGTGATGATGTTGTGATAACCCCACAAAATCTTCACTAGTCAAAACTCTTCATCTTTAAAGGTGTTTAAACTCAAATTAAACGATATAGTACATATTTTACTCTATGTAGTTCATCACTTAATTTTCTCAAAATAGTTTTCTCAAACAAGGCAATCATTTTTCCTTGGTAAAGGTCTAATCTCAAATTAAATGATAGTATTGTATATCACTCCATATATTTCGTCACTTAAATTTTTCAAAATAAGGCTATGATTTTTCCTTGGTAATATTTAATTATTCCTAGCAGATGAGATGATTTTAGGATAGAAAAAATTTCAACTTTGGGAAGATTTTCCTACAAGGTACTACCAAACTATACCTAAGTGTAACCTTGCTATTTAAGACACATGTGTAAATTATCATGTTTTGGTATTTTTCATCTATTGTCATTGAAAATTTGATATTTGAAATAGAAGATTTATGATTTCATTGCAATAATAATAATAATAATAAATTTTATTATTATTTTTAATTAAATCAAATAATCTAATCTTGCTAAAGTATATCAAGATCAATAACTATATACTAAAAGACACACCAACAATGACACGTGTCGTCTCCTGGTGTGTCTTTAATTTTTTTTTTTTTTTGAAAAGCGCTAAATAAGTAAATTTTTAATGAGGTAAAAAAAATTGACTAATAAGTCAATTGCCTTAATTGTCAAAAATTAATTATTGTCTAAATCTTTAATTTAGAAAGAATAAAAAATCAATCACAACACTAGGAAAAATATCATAGATTATAATACAACCCATAATAATAATAAAATATTAATATAAATTATTTTTCCAAGCTAATTATCTTAATAAACAATAACTACACACAAGTAATAAACATACCAGTAACTACATGATATATTGATTGATTACTAATAATTTTTTTTTTTAATATTTGTATAAGATATTGCCAAAACATAATTAAAACATACCGATATTCGTTTTTCAAAAAAAAAAAAAAAAAAAAAAAAAAAAAAACCTATATTCAATTAGAGTTCATAACAAGAAAAAGATTGAATAAAGAAATAATACATTATTCAAAAAATATAGATTAATATTGTAAATGGCTTGATTTGAGATAAAATAATAGCGTGATTTTAGCAGTGAGTACAAAGGGAATTGAATTATTTCACGAGATAGATCTATAGCTTAAAAAATTTATTTAATTGAAAAGAAAATAACGGCATCCCACTGAAATATATAAATATAATTATATGATCAAATGCATAAAAGCTAATTGGATCTTCTGAGATTATTTCAATAAATATTTTGGTAGTTTATTTCACAATATTAGTAGATAATGTTTTTTACATTAACTAAAATAGTGTAAAATTGCTGAGTTGATATAATAATAAAAGTTTCCGTGCGTGGCACGGGACCTAACCTAGTATTATATAAAGAAATCTCCTATGTAACTTTATTAAAAAGAAGATTAAGAATGCAATGTCATTTTGTAATGTCTTTCTGTCATATTAGCCTTTACATTTTTCTTATGATTATGAGGATTCGAGATTTTTGGTAGAGTAGTCGGAAAGAAAATTTTCACACCTATAAGTTTGACAATCTTCATTTGCAGCAATTTATATAATAAGTTTGATTTTTGGTGGATTCTGTTTGGGGCTAGTCAATTGTCCTAAGCCCAGTGACCTAGAATTAGAAAAATACCCCTCCATGATGCAGCCCATCATTAGTTAGAGCAAAGTACGGATTTACCCCTAATCTGTCCAATTAAGTACAACCTCTTCCACCTGAGAGTACATCTATAAATAGCTCTCCAATCATTGATGATGGTAATTTTTTCCTAATTCTCTAATCCTCTCTCTCTGCTTTCTCTCTCTAAAGTACTCTTTCTCTCTCTACTTTCTCTCTCTACTTTCTCTCTCTAAAAAGTACATTCGCTGACTTAAGCATCGGAAGGGATTTCTCGGGTCACACCCCCGGGGCAGTTAACCTTCTTTCTCTTTTGCAGGCCTAGCTCTCGGACAGCAAGGCATAGGTGAGGGAAATTCGGACATTCATTGGACATAACTCTATGACATCTTGATTACCCTTACTACCCTAAGACTCCCAGGAGCATTCTGTTTCCAGAAACTGGTGGCGCCGTCTATGGGGATAACTAACAAGAAGTCATGGTGAACACTAGGCGTCCCCGCAGCACTCATCAAGATGCTACTAGGCAAGCTCCAATTCTCTCGGCTAGGAATGCTCACATAGTCGAGGAGATTATACCTAGGGCTCGTAGTGAACCTGAGAGAGAAGTGAACAGCCCCCAGGTGGTCACTCGCCGGACTTGGACCAGCTGGCAGCCCAGATCAACAAAAACTTGGAGGAAAGCCTCATGGCACTTATCAATCAAGGGGTGGGGCAAGGCAGGCAGGGGAGCGCTCCACAGCCTAATCCTCCGCCTCACATGTCCCATCTCCATCAAGCCTCCTCTCGGCCTCAGCATCAGACATCTCGTCGCTCTCAGCCCAATCAGTCCCCTGACCCCCAGCGGGAGACAAGGCAGCCAAGCAGGCCAAGGGATGCTAGAGAGATCATCAATGACCGAAGGCTAAAGGATGGCACTCTAGATGCCCGAGAGATAATCAACTCCAGGAGGGAGAACTCCAAGGAAGATAACAACCCCCCCCAGAGAGGTCGAACTAGAGTTCACTCTCGGCATGGGTCAACAAGGTACCGAGATAGCATGATTCACTCAGCTACTTCCAGACCAAGAAGAGGAACCGATCAGCCCGCTCGTTCAGTAAGAAAAAGCCCCGAGCGTCCTTCCTCCCCCAGGCCACAGAGGCTCGGGATTGTCAAGAACATCACCCCCTTCAGCCAGGAGATAATGAATACCCCTATTCCTCCTAAGGTCAAGATGCCTACCTTGGACCCTTATGATGGAAAGACGGACCCAACAGACCATCTGAACGCTTACAAAGCACAGATGGGAGTCCGAACCGGGTGTGAGGCCTCATGGTGTAGGTTCTTCCCTACTACTCTCAAGGGCATAGCTCAGACATGGTTCAACAACCTCACCCCCGGGAGCATAAGAACGTTTGACATGTTAGCCACTTAGTTCAAAAAGCACTTCATCGCTGGGAGTAGGCAAACAAAGACTAGCGTTCATTTGATGACGGTGAAGCAAGGGGAGAATGAAAGTCTTAAGGACTACATCAAGAGGTTCAATACCAAGTCTCAACTCATCCCCAACCTCCAAGACAATGTTGCTTTCACAGCCCTTCTCTTCGGGCTCAAGTCTAACAAGCTGAAGTTTGAACTTGTCCATGACAAGGTGAGCACCTTCTCTGAAGCCATGGAGAGAGCTGAAAGGATCATTGAAGCTAGTGAGGTGTGCAAGGCACCCGTAGCAAACAACAAGGGGAAGAGGAAACAAGAAGATAAATACCATGACAACAGGAATAGAAGGCCGAGGAGGGCTGAGAGTGATGATGAAGGACTTAAGTACAATGCTGATAGGCGTGAGATCTATTTGGACATAAAGCACAAGGCTATTCTTCCTAAGACTAACCCCATGAACACGCCGATAGAGCAGAGGAACAAGAAGCTTTGGTGTGAATACCACAAGGAGTGTGGTCATACCACCTGGAACTGCAGAGAGCTCAAGAGAGCCCTTGACAAGCTAGCTGGAGAAGGAAAGCTTAACAGATATCTCAAGTCCCCCCCGAAGGATAAGCAAAGCAAGGCCGCCAAAGAAGTGCAGGAAGCCCATAGCTCAGCTGACACTAACTTAAGCATCAATGTCATAGCCGGAGGGTTTGCCTCCGGGGGTTTGTCTAACAGGAAACGCAAAAGTCAGTTGCGGTCGCTCGAAGAGCCCATCTATGATATCGGCACTCCCTCGTCTACCCCGAAGGACCCCCTCATGGTATTCGGGGATGACAAAGGAAAGAAGATTCAAAGGCCTCATGATGACCCCTTAGTGATTCATATGAAGGTGGCCAATGATTCATATGAAGGTGGCCAATGCTAAGGTGAAGAAGATCTTAGTAGATAGTGGAAGTTCAGCAGATATCATCACATGGAAATGCATCGAGCAGATGCGTTTTGGAAGAGGTGACCTTACACCCCTGGAGAAACCCTTAGTGGAATTTGGGGGGCATCATGTGTACCCCTTAGGAACAATCAAGCTTCCTGTTCGTTTGGGGGAAAAGAAGAAGGGGAGAAGCTTGGTTCACACCTTCTTAGTTGTGGATACCCCTCTGCCATATAACATGATTCTTGGACGACCCCTTCTCAATAGGGTCAAGGCTGCCATCTCAACCTATCACTTACTCCTCCAATTCGAGACCGATGAGAGATCGGTGGGCAAGATATTTGGAGATCAGTTCGAGGGAAGAAAATGCTATGTAGATAGCTTGAAGTCACCTGAGAGCTCCGTCAATCAAGAGGACAAGGGGGCCAAGAGGAAAGCGATGGAAATTGATGAACCTCAACACCCGATCATGAGCATTTACATGGCTGAGAATCCAAAGCAGTACGGTAGGCCTAGGCCTATTGAAGAAGATGAGAGCATACCCTTAGGGGATGATCCCGCTCGGACCGTAAGGGTGGGAAAGAACTTGGACCCCTAGCTCAGGGAAGAAATCATTCAAGTACTTAGAGAGTACAAAGACATCTTCACTTTTACAGCAGATGAAATGCCGGGCATAGATCCCGAGGTAATGACTCATGAGCTGAACATCAAGGAGGGCTACAAGCTCGTCAAGCAAAAACTCCGACATGCTGGGCCGGAGAGAAACAAAGCCGCAACTGCTGAGGTTGAAAAGCTTCTCGAAGCGGGTTTCATTCGAGAATGCCAATACACCGAGTGGTTATCCAATGTGGTGCTGGTTAGGAAGCCCAACGGTTCTTGGCGTATGTGTGTGGATTTTACATATTTAAACAAGGCATGCCCGAAGGACGATCATCCTTTGCCTAAGATTGATAGGTTGGTGGATTCGACCGCTGGTCACGCCCTCCTAAGCTTCATGGATGCCAATGCGGGATATCATCATATCCCCATGACAGAGAAGGATCAAGCCCACACAGCCTTTATCACTAGCCAAGGGGTGTATTGCTATAATGTGATGCCCTTCGGCCTGAAAAACGTCGGGGCTACCTACCAGCGTCTGATGAACAAAATCTTTGAAGGGAAACTAGGTCGGAATGTTGAGGCCTATGTTGATGATATGATCGTGAAAGCAAGGAAAGCCCGGACCACATAGCTGATCTAAGGGAAACCTTCACAACCCTTAGAAAATATAAAATGAAGCTTAACCCCAGCAAGTGTGTCTTTGGGGTGCAAGGTGGAAAGTGTTTGGGCTTCATGGTTGATCAGCGGGGCATTGATGCCAACCCCGATAAAATTCAGGCTATTCTTGACATGGAATCCCCCCGCAATGTGAAGGAAGTGCAACGCCTTACAGGCTGTCTGGCCGCATTGGGGAGGTTTCTATCCCGATCAGCTGATAAGAGTTTTTCTTTTTTCAAGGCCCTCAAGAGGCCTAAGTTCTTATGGGATGAAGAAGCTGAGAAAGCTTTCCAGCAGCTGAAGGAACATCTGATGAACACTCCGAAGCTTGTTAGCCCCCTCCCCGGGGAAAAATTATTCGTGTACTTGGCCATATCGAATTATGCCCTGAGTGCGGTCCTTGTTGCTGAAAGAGATGAAGGCCAAGTACCGGTCTATTTTGTCCTAAGGGGGGCTGAAACCCGATATACTCTCATAGAGAAGGTGGTGTACGCTTTGGTGATGGCAAGTAGGAAATTGAAGCCATACTTTCAAGCACACCCGATCAAAGTCCTCACCAACCAACCAATCAAGAAAGTGCTAGAGAGCAAAAATCACTCATCCCGAATGACGGATTGGTCAGATCAGTTAGCTGATTTCGGAATCGAGTTTGAACCCCGGAAGGCCATCAAGGCCCAAGCCTTAGCCAACTTCATAGCTGAATGCGCTCACAGGCCTACTCCAATTGACACCTCCGCCCCTTGGGCTCTTTATGTGGATGGGTCGTTAGTAAGGCCGGGAGTGGAGCTGGGCTAGTCATCATATCCCCGGAGGGAGAGAAGTTTGAATATGCAGTCAAGTTTGCCTTCCATGCATCAAATAATGAAGCTGAGTGTGAGGCTCTTATCTTGGGGCTAAACTCTTGCCAATTCATGAAGATAAAATCCGTTCAAGTATGCTCAGACTCACAACTCATAGTGGGGAAAATGACAAAGGAATTCGAAGTGAAGGAGGAGAACATGAAAGCCTATTTTGAAAAGGCTGAAGGCTTGACAAGATCATTTGACATATTCGAGATCAGGCACATCCCCCGCTCAGAGAACCAGCAAGCTTATGCTCTTGCCCGATTAGCAAGCTCGGCTGAGGGGATAGCCCCCTGGAATATTATAGGGGAAGTATTAGAGAAGCCAAGTACCCAAAGACCTGCTGTCATGGACATTGATAGAGGGAAAACTTGGATGGATCAAATCATTCATTGCTTAAAAGGGGAGCTGCCCGAGGACACCCCCGACTTCAAAATGATCAAAAAGCGGAGTGAGTGGTTCTTGCTTCATGATGGGATCCTCTACAAAAAAATCCTTTACTCATCCATTGCTGAAGTGCATTACCTCGGAGGAGGGAAATTATGTACTTAGAGAAATTCATGAGGGGGCATGTGGTAGCCATCAGGGTGGAAGGACTATAGCTGGAAAGGTGCTAAGGGCCGGATTCTATTGGCCAACCCTGAGGGAAGATGCTGCCAACATTGTCAAGAAGTGCGAAAAATGCCAAAGGTTCGCTGACATGCCCCATGTCCCGGCCAACGTCCTCACAAGTATTCAGTCAGTCCTACCCTTTGATCGGTGGGGCATGGACATCCTAGGGCCATTCCCCGTAGCCTCGGGACAAAGGAAATTTCTAATAGTAGCGGTGGATTATTTCACCAAGTGGGTTGAGGCTGAGCCGGTGTCAACAACAACCGATAATCAAGTCCAGAAGTTCAATTGGAGGAATATCATCACCCGCTTCGGGGTACCCCGCATCTTAATCTCAGATAATGGCCGACAATTCAACAGTGGGCCAACCATAGAGTATTGTGGGCGTTTTGGGATAAAGACAAGATTTTCAGCAGTGTGTCGACCCCAAACGAATGGCCAAGCAGAGGCGGCGAATAAAACAATATTGAAAGGGTTGAAGACAATGCTGGAAGGCATAAAGGGGTCTTGGGTGGATGACTTGCCCAGGATCTTATGGTCCATTCGTACCACAATCAAGGAAGCTACGAGACAAACCCCTTTTGCCTTAGTATATGGGAGTGATGCAGTACTCCCCGTGGAAGTTGGGATCCCATCCCCCAGGGTTACCTTCTATGACCCCGACCAAAATGATCAGCTGAAGCCCTTGGCTTTAGACTTACTCCCAGAGATAAGGGGAGATGCTTTGCTTCGCTCTATAGTATACAAGCTAAGGATAACCCGCTATTTCAACAAAAGAGTCAAGGCAAGGCCCCTGGTTTAAGGTGATTGGGTGCTCCGAAAGTGTGAGGCTGCTGGCAAGCCCCCGGCATCGGGCAAGCTAAGCCCTAATTGGGAAGGGCCTTACAGGATTAAAGAAGTAGTCCGCCAGGGAACCTTTAGCTTACAAACCCTTGATGGCAAGGACCTCCCTTGGCCATGGAATGCAGACAACCTCTGGCGGTTTTATTTCTAAAGCATATTCATCACAATGACGACCTAGGGGCAATAAGAGCCGATGCTAGGACATCAACTTCTATATAGCGCATCATTGTAATGACTTTCATATTTTTGTTAATATAATGAAAAACCCCCGGTTGGGATGTTTGCCCCATTTATTTTGCACTTGTTATTTGTTGTTTGTTGTTTACTTAGTTTATTTTTTGAAACTTTTATATCGCTCATTAGCATAGCCAACGTTCATTTAATAGCACCACATGCCGGGCATAAGGCATTTTGGTTCGCTAACACTAAAGTTTGTTCCAATGTTTGTGGCAAGATGCTAGCCTATACTCAAGCATTTGAGATAGAGTCCTGGCCAAAAGATCACCATAACTTGGGGCTCGTTTAGCCCCTAGCCTAATTTAAAAGGTTGGAAAGGCCTAACTCTTATACTACTTACAACTCGAGGCTTATGTTAGCCCCAAAATCGTTTCACTTTGTTAATAATAAGCAGGGATAGCCCAGCTCTCATATCACTCGTAAATTGGGGCTCATTTAACCCCTAGTCCATTTACTTGGTTAATTTATAACTTAGGGCTCGTTTAGCCCCCGGATGTTCACACAAATCACGTCCTTACAAAAAATAACATAAGGCTCGTTTAGCCCTCGTTCATGCCAAAGTGACTTGATAAGCCTGGGGGCTTCTTTTTGGCCCCTAGGGGTGAATGAGCAAGAAAAAAACAAGTGTTAAACAATAAGAAAGCTGGAGTAAGAGCACATGAAATCTACATCAATAAGAAAAGCCAAAGTAAAAGCCGAATGTGCAAATATACAAGCCAAGTTAAAGATTCAAAGTTTTACAAAAAATCACAAGTCTAATGAAAAGAAAAGACATCCTGGGAAAGGTCAATCAAAGACAAAGCAAGGGGCTACTCCTCGGCCATGCCCTCCTCAGCAAGCACCTTTCTCTGCTCCTCCTCATCGGCCTCGCGAAGAAGGTCCTTAATCTTACCTCGTACCTTAGGGTACGAATCCTGGAGACCGAAGGAAGTGAAGGCGACTTGCATGTGAGTCAGGGCATCCTCAATCCCCGCCGGAGACTTCTTCCATTCAGCAATTACCTCTTCCTAGCTTTGCTCCACCTTCCTCCAAGCCTCAGCAAGATCACTCTTCATCTAGGCCAGCTCATCTTTCCTCTCCTTCAGCTCATTAGCCTCCTTGAGCTGAGTCTCAAAGGCCTTAATGCGGGATGTCCCGGCCTCCTGAGCATCAACAAGCTCCTTCTTGGCCGTCTTCACCGTCTCTCGAGCCGAGTTAAGCTATTCCTTGAGGCCGTGGATCTCGGTCCTAGCCTTTGAAAGCTCAGCACGGAGGCCCTCAACATCCTTCATGGCCCCCCTCTGGTACTCCTCGGCGAGCACACTCAGAGTCATGTCGGCCTATATGCTAAAAAGACAAGAAGATGATGGTTAAGTACAAAAAAGCTAAAGATAGAGAAATTCGATGTTATATAGCAAAATATACCTTCAAGACACCATCGAAGGCCGAAGAAATAGCCTTGGAGGGATCCTTCTTCACTACCTCAATATCCTTAGCCGAAGGGAATCGGACCATGGTTTGCTTTACCGTCTTCTTCCGGCCCCTCTTTGTGATGCCGAGGAGAGAGTCAGGAAAGTAAGGAATCATTTCCTCGCAATCTTCCCCCCCTTCCTCCTCGTTCTCCTCCACCCGAGGCTGCTTTCCTCGATCCCCAAAGCCCTCGGCCTCTAGGAGCTCGATGTGAGTGGAGCCGGTCGGGGAGACAAGCTGAGACCCCTGATCATCTATCTCCATGTTGGAGGTGGCTTGGGAGGATCCTTCTCCCCTCTCAGCCGTTTTCCTCCTCAACTTTGAGTTCTTCGAGTTCTGAAAGAACAAATCACAAGTG